ACAGGGGCTGCAGCCTACGCTGTCGCCGTCAACTCACAGCAGCCCAGCTCCAGATTGAGCTGTTGTTCAGCATCTTAGCTGAGGGCAGTGTCACTGGCCCTCATATGTGGGATTCAAACCGGGGCCCTCTGGCGTCCCAAGCCAGTTCTTAACCATCGTGCCACTCGGCCAGCCCTCATTTAACTTTTGACTGCTGTTTCTTTTATTTCTTAACCCTTCGCCGCCCCCTCTCGTTCTCCCACTGCTCATGTCGTGCGGGACGCAACACCCTTCTACTCACAGTGACCCATTTATGTACCCTGTCTCCCCAACCATATCCCTGGCTCAAAAGTAAGATAATCAACCTGGCTTTTATTGTCACAATCTGTAGCAGACCCAGGTAAGGAGGGGAGTGATCCCCAAGACATTACAGGTGCCACATGCAGACCTAACTAATGTCCATGAAGCAGCGCACCTTGCTAAGCTGCCAGTAATATTCTAGGGGTCCTCTTAGCCAGAGTGGGTCAGTTCCCAACCACCACACACTTAAGGCCCTATGGCTTCTCCCTGCTGGAGGAGATTCCTGCTGAAGGGTCAGATCTGTAGTGGGCGCTGCAGGTGGAGATCAGAAGAGGCCCGCTTATGCCCCTTCTATAGAATGTCTCCCCACTGACTGCTTCTGGTCCTGGTGGAGCCTGGGGCTGAAACAGGAGCCTCTCCTCTGTGTTCCCCACATGAATAGCTTCAGCCAGGAGTGTATCCCTGGTGTGTGGCAAGGTGGCTTTGAAGGTGTGTGCACACGTGTCACTGGGTGGGCTTTCTGGGGCTGCCTCGTGGTCCTGGCCTATGACACTGACCATATTGGTACATGTGCACTCTGCTCAGATTTCATCCCCTCCTGCACTCCATGATTACCCTGGGGTGGGATGGGGACTTCTTCACAAGTGTGTGCCACGCCCAGAAATGATTCCATGGGCTCCAGGGCAGGACAAAGACACTGAGATTTGGGTGACGTGGGGGCCCACACAGACCACAGCATAGGAGAGCCTGACTAGGGATTAACCCACAGGATCGGTGCATTCAAGGAGGGCCTGTTTCTCCAGTTAGCCTGTGTGCTAATGGGATTCTTCCCAACCTTAGTGCTGGTGACAGGAGTGCCAAACTATGGAAAAGTCAGTGACACCAGGGCCCCAAATCCTCAGAGGGAACAAGTGCCTGCATCCTCTAAAGAACGACTTTCTACGATTCAGGAAGTGAGCTGCTCAGTGTTGATACAAAGGGGCCACATTCTAAACCTGACAGGCTCAGGTTAGGACACCAGAGCAGGCCCTACAAACTGAGACTGAAATTAACCATGTAGGATGGTCTTGTTGTGGGCCAAACAAGTAGCCCCACACACACTGAAAAACTTTTAAGTTTTAT